TGTTAGTGCTTTGCTGTTCATATTTAAAAAATCATTACAGTAAACCCAGAGATTTCCAACTAGAAATAAAAACATTCATTACTCCCTCTTCATTCTTACCCCTGTGCCCTCACACAAACATATCCATACAAAGAACTCAGAAACAGCACAGGATTCTCTAAGTTCTGGAAGAGACCTGCCTCTACAATCTTTATTATTTCCCTTCCCTAATTTGCTCTCCCTAAATGTGACAGATAAGAATACAGGTATCTGAGTCAGTTGAGATTGAGTGGGGAATAGGGTCTCAGACATTTTCTGACGATAGCTTTCAGGCAGGGAGAAACTTGGGTTTACTCTAACAAAATGCTTGCCAAGTCTGGGGCCTAACACAATTGGGAATCACTGCTTCCTGGAAGGGACATGCCCAGGTGCTTTTATAAATACAATCAGATTAAGGGATCCGACTCCAAAGACCACTGTCTTCTTCCTAGAAAATGTTATCACCATCACACTAAATTACCTCAAGCAAAAGAGCTTTTGAATTTAAGTGAGGAGGTGGGTTTTCAGCTGTTGCCAACTTAGGGCAGGAGGCAGGACCCCCCATCTACCCTCATGAGAAAACTTACGTTGTTTTGCATCAGCCTCCTAGCCACAGAGGCCACAGTGGCAGTTAGGACACCGCACAGTAGATGAGAGGCCACTTCCAAGGTATGTATATTGGAACTTCTTTCTGTCCTCATCTCAACTTTCCATGCAAGGGCACCACTTTTTGCCCCAAACAAAATGGCTCTTTTTAACTTATACCTTGAATATGGATGCAAGAGATGGAAAAACATTCATGGTTCAGATGAACCCCCTGAGTCTTCGGCCTCACATATGCTAGGTAAGCACTCTACTGCTGAGCCACAACCCCAGCCCCCCAATAGTCCTTTCTTAACTGCTAAAAAGAAGGCCTATAAGGAAGATTTTTACAAACATGTGTGTCCCCATCTGCTGCCACAAACTCCATCTGCGCCCAGGCAAGGACCAAATAAGGGCCAACAGTGGTGCTCAGCTGGTACTGCTGTGGCTTGCATCACCATCAGGGCTGGTTCTGTGTGGCCATAGCTGAGGAACTGCATGGTGGGCTGCCCAGCTGTCCATGAAGGAGAACAAGGTTCCCCTAACAGGCTCTTTTGCCCCGGTCCTCTCTGTATTGAGGGAGAGGGACAGTGGGGAAGTTAAAACTGTTCCACTCTCCTCTCCATCTAAATTGATTTATCATTTCTCTCTGAACACAAGAGGAGGGTAAAGATCCAGGAGAGAAGCTGAGGTCAGGCACTCGAGAGGCCAGACTAGCACAGCAGTCCTTTTCCATAGCCATCCTCCTGCTCTGGGCACTGTGAGGCAGTAGAAGGATTATAGTGAGAACACAAAAAGGCCTTGGAGGGCTAGGGCTTTATTTCCAGGAAGGAATTTAATTTCCTTAAGACAACCAAAATAGTGGGATTGTAACCTCTCTGTAATGACTCTACCAAGTCCTGATTCTGAGAATCCAGTCAGAACCAGTTGAGCTCTGGAGCGTGGACTTAGTTTACTTATCTTTTTGAAGTAATTCTTCCCTTTAATGTCAATCAAAAACCAATGTATGGGGCTGGGTTTGATCCTCAGTATCAAAATAAAATAAAATAAAGGTATTGTGTAAAAAATAAATATTAAAAAAAGAAAACAATGTATGCACTATTTTCACACTATTAAAATCACAGACCTTTCACACTGTTAAAATCACAAACCTGCAAACTAGTAATTTACCACCTTTTTACCCAAACCAGGCACACATAATGGCAAAAGGTCATTTAAAAAAATGTACAGGAGGTGGTGGAGCTATAGCTCAGTGGTAGAGCGCTTGCTTTGCATGTTTGAGGCACTGGGTTTGATCCTCAATACCACATAAACAAATAAAATAAAGTCATGCTGTCTATCTATAACTAGGCCCCCCCCCCAAAAAAAAAAAATTAAATGTGCAGAACCAAAATAAACAAATAAGTAATAAGTAAATAAAAATTCTGGAAGAAATGAATATAACTGTTCAGAAATTAAATATTATTCACTATCCTTAGAGAAAAAAATCATAATTATGTTTTTGAACACAATCAGTTATGTACTGGTTTGTCGAAGAGATCTGTGAGTGCTCCCCAGCATAGAGGTTGATTTGGGAAGAGATCAGGAATATAAGATAAAATCCACTTCTACAGGCTTTCTCCTTAAATCAGATTTTCTCAGTGCAATTGGCTTTAGATCACAAAGGGAAAGAATCCCCATTTAATTTAGATCAGGCTCAGTATTCAGCTGAGGTAAAATCTGAGGAAATCTTGAGAAGAGCAGAACATAGGGAAGGAGGATTTTATATGCCTTTATTTTATTTCTTGGAAGATTCATTTAACCTCTCTTTTGCCTCAATTTCCCAATTTGGAAAATAAAGTCATTTTCTCCCACTTTGTGAAAAGGCATTTTGACAGTCTTTGGTTACAGGCATCGTGAAAGGAGATAAAAATCATTGTGAACCCCAAAAGAACTGGGTTCATAGTATGTTCTGGTGCATGTGTGCTAATCTGCTCTGTCATCAACATACCTTGGTGTATGATTCCTCAAAAACTGCAAATGCCAGAGAGTTGGACCCACTTTTGTATTTTTTAATGTGGGCCCAAGCCACAGAGAATTTTTAATACCAAATACGGCCATCACTGTTCCTTATTATGATTGAAAAGAAATAATGCCAACCTCCATGTTTGAAAAATGCTTTGAGATTCAAAGCAAAGGCACATTCATCTGATCCTCACATTAGCTAGGTGGGAGTGTTATCCCCACTTTATAGATGAAGAAACTGATGTTCAGAGAAGTTCAACAATTTTCCTGCAAGCAACATATCCAAGACTTGCACACAGTTATTTCTATTCCAAATCCAATGCTCATGTTCCCAAGCTGCCCTGGGCCAAAGCCTGCTTCGCTTTCGAAGACTACAGATTCCTTCTTGAGTACCACTTTGGTCAAGGTTAAACAAATATGATTTTCTTTAGTGTGGATAAGAAATTGATAATGAGATGATTTGTAACAAATGATTAAACGGCCATCACTTGGGAATCTCCTCCCTCTCCCCTTTGTGTGCCTCAAAAGTTAAGAGGTGCTGGGTGAAGGTGGGAGCAATATCACTTTACTTGAAGAGAAAGAAGCTTCAGCCCCACACCCCTCACAGTTCAATTGTTCTGCAAACAGATGTAGAAAGGATCCCTCTTCCCTCCACCCAGTTACTCTGAAGGGATGATAACAGCCATTGGGGGGTTAAAAAGAGGCAGTGAACCCCCAGTTAATGAGTAGGAATTCAGCAGGCAGTGTAAGATAAATGGAGCTCTCTCTGCTTCTGCTAGAGTCAGCATGAACTGCGGCCCTGCGGCTTGTTTGTGGCAAATGGAGTGCGCGAAATATCAAAGGGCAGTGATCCAGAAGAAGACCGACTTTGACAAATTTTAAATTGGCCAGAAAGAAAACCAGGAGAAAAAAAAAAAAAAGAAAAAAAACAGAAAGAAAGAAAGAAAAAAAGAAAAGAAATTCTGTAATTCACCGTGTCCTGCAATTGTGGCACTGCTGTCTTTGTACAGAATTAGTGGTAGAAACAGCAGCAACGATCGCTGGATGCTGGGAGCAATTATGAGCCATCTAAGTGAGATGCTTATCAGTGGCTGAAGCTTTTAGAGCTCTCTCTATGTACAGTTGTAAGTAACTTGCTCTGGAGCTGCAGTTACTTTAATTAAAGTGTATGGGGTTGGTCAGAAGTAATTATCCTGTTTGGAAAAGAAAGGGGAAAAAAAAAAAAACACCTCAACAATTCTGGGTGGCAATAGATTTTCGAAACAACTTTGCCAATTTCTTCTTGTATGTGTGCATTTCCCATAAACAGATCAAGCTGCAGTAGGTTAGAGTTACTGGTGGCAGTTACCTAAAGGCAAACAATGGGGCAGAAACAGAATTTATTGTAACCCAAGTTACCATGTTAGGCAAGCAGCCTGGCTCTGGATTCCAACTGCCCGGACAGGCAGTCTTCACACTACAGGCAAACATGGCAGTTTTTTCTGTCCCTAGATGGGGAGACATGGAGTCCACCAATGGTATTTTGTAATTAAATTACTCTTTGGAACAAAAATGAGCTAACATCTCTCTTTTGCTCCTTGTATTCACTGAGATTCATTATATTTTAAAGATACTCTTTCTGTTCCTTTAGAAAAACCAAACCCAAACAGCCAACAAAAGAACCCTAAGTGATTATCTTTACTAACATAGCAAGGGGCACAATGGGAGACCTGAGCAGAAAAGCAGTTTTTTATACTCGTTTGGACTCTAGACTCAACGTAGGGTTCCCATAGTTTAGTCCTATTGAAGTCACGAGTGCCTTCTAAAATCTCTGAAAATAAACAAACACAGAGTAATGTCTGGAAGCATCAAGTGCGGACACTCCCGGGGTGATAGCTATGGCAGTCACTGTTTGGAAGCACACAGTGCACAACCTTTACTTCCATTTCTCTAGCCCAGGATGACCCCAGAACATTGCCTAAGTAGAGACTCCAGCTTTTCTATACATGACACTGACTCTCACATCCCTCAGAAAAGAGACAGGCCTGTCCAAAGAGACAAGCAGACCAGGACATATTTAAATCCCACATATTCTCCGCCTGATTAGCCTGCCCCCAACAGCAACAGCTAGCTGAGCATTCGCAGTAAGAATGTCCTAGAAAGGTGGGCTACTTGTAACTGTGAGAAAATACCGAAAAGAAAAATCGTGTAACTTTTGCTTTTTTTAGAGCCCACTTTCCCTCCTATTACACACACTATTTCATTCTACCAGGGTTCTTACCATATAGAGAACAGTAAATAAAGATTATCATGAATTTGATCAAATGCTTCAGTGCCTCCTCCCCTGGCCTATGAATGCACTCATTACAAATCAGCTGAATGGCTCATTGATTTGCCAGGAGGACAAGCAGACATACCCAATCGCTCAGCCAAGCGGATGTAGACTGGGTCCACCCTACGCATGGTTTTCACCAGATCCTTTTTGCGGAATTTGATTTCTACTGTCCCTTCTGGCTCCAGAACTGATCCCCTGGATCAGAAAGAAAGAAAACAAAACAGAAATAGAGGCACTTTAAAGGAAAGACACAACAGAATGAGGCCAGTTACAATTTGTGGACCAGGAAATAGCTTCATTATGGTTTTGCCCACCCATGGTTCACAAAAGTCACCCCAGGGAGAAAGGAAAGCACCAGAGAAGTATCTAAGTGAGGTATGAGGAAGGCCTGGCAAAAAAAGCAATTAAAATAATTCTCATTAGCCGCCAGTTGACTTCCATTTTATAAGGAGAATACAGATTCCACCAACGATAGCTGATAAGGGTGACAGGAATCACAGTATTTTCAAGGGTGGGGGGTGGGGAGATGCTGTAGGCACAGAGGTAGGGCAACCACTTCCAGCACTTAGGCTGAATAAGTGAGGGGTTGATGTTGATCACCCTACACCACAGCTGTCAGTCTGCTAGTAGGACTTGGATCAGACAGTAGGCTAGGCAAAGCAGTAGGTAAAACATTCTTCCCACTGCTATGAGAATGTGCAAAGTGAAAGGTCTCAGGGTTGCTTTTAGTGAATACCAGTGGGAATACTAACTGTGTTCTATCACCAGTAACTTTGTTCTAAACACCTTTAAAAAAGAGATTTTAATATTTTATAAAAAATTAGAGCCGATGCCTACTATGCGCATGGCATAGTTCTAAGTGCTTATCTATAAATCCTCACAATATTTTGCTTAGTGAACATCCACTGTGATGTAAGATGTTGCTATTACTCACCTTTTACAGGTAAGAAAACTATAGTACAGGAAGTTAAAAGACTTGCCTAAACCTGGCAAGTGAAAGGATTGGACTCTCCAGAGTCTGAAGAACAACTATCTCTGATCTGAGATCTGATTAGGGCCTAGCTTAGGCTGTAAAAATAAACCCCTCAATGTAGAACACTAGCCTAAGGATTTGATGATAAAACTACTGGTATTTTCCTAAACAGCTTTTGAATTAGAAGGCTGAATTTTTTAGAAAAAGGGAATAAGAGATGCTCTAATAAAATGATTGGATGTAATAATGCACATAGAAAATGTAAAGGAGATGGGCTGTGGAATTCACCTCCTTAAGAAAGGGTTGAGAACACATTATGAAAGGATGCTGGGTTTGATCTGTTTTACTTAAATAGTTTCAGGAACTACCTCTCAACACACTTGGGCTTCTCTCTTGAAGTTTTTTGGGTGCTACAAATACTGTGTTCTCCAGCCTTCTGGAATGCCAGAGCAGAGACTTAGGCTCCAAAGGAATGAAGAAGCTTTGGTTTGGAATCATAGATGAGGGTGCTATGGTGCACATCAGTGACCAGCCAGCTCATTCAATAGATAATGAGAAACAGCCCAGGAAGTGTGAAGACTGCTCTGTTTCCTGATCGTCAACCCCTAGAACTTCAGATTTACAGGCCAGTCTTTCCATGTCAACTCACTCTAAGTCCCCTCTGCCACACACCTAAAAAAGAGACGGTGAGTAGGCACATCTGAATAACAAGTGGGAGGAGAAATTTCTCTGAGTTTGGAAGTGCTGGAAGGGAGGACTAAGTAAAAGAATCTGGGATGGGGGAATTATACTGAGAAAGCCTGACTCTAGCCTGGTTTCCTTCTCATGCCAGCAAACACTATTTAGAAAGCCTATTTTTCTGTCCTTGGAGTCCTTTGGGAACGGACAGATTCAATGAAGTTTCCTTGGTTATAATTTTCTTCAGGAGGAAGCCAACAGCTAGAGGATCCAGAGAGAAAGTGAATAGAAATCAGGAAGGCACACTACCTGCTTTCTCGGTCAGCATACATCTCCATGTGCCGGGGGTTGATGGTGGGGTCAATCACAACCCAAGAGCCACCCCGCAGCTCGGCCTGGGGAGGAATGTAAACCATCACAGGTTGGGAGCACTCCCGCAAGCTGTCCACGATGTAAGCGCCAAACTTCAGCACTTGATCGTACATATCTGCAGAGAATGAGACAAATTAGAAATCATGAAACTTATCTTCCCCAAAGTAGTGCTGCCAAACATTGTTCACACCATGGTATGTGCAGAAAAAGAAAAAAAAAATTGTTACTGTACACTGTGTCTCCAAGAGAGGCTGCTCACTGCTGGAGGTGACAGGTTCCAGACACCTCATGTCCTGTGTGGCCACCTTGAAGACTAACGGGATTGGTTTCTTTCCCTGTATCCCACTCAAGACTCTGGAGGATCCTCCAAAGTATAAGAGAGAATTGTACTGTTTTTCATAAGACAGTGTGCAAGCCCTCCAGACAGCATATCCATTTTACATCATCCCTGAATTTCTGTTCTCAGGTTTCACCACATTAATTCATACTAGCTCTACAAACGTTGAGTATTTTTCATGTCAATATGTGATCTCTCCCACTACATTAAGTTTTCTGAAGGAAGGAACTATTCTAGCTCTTTTCAATTCCTCTCATGATTCTTAGCATATGATGAGCTCTTAAAATGTGCAGCTAGTGGAAATGGATCCTTCAAAAATTTATCTTTGAAACTATTTTTCATCTTTGTATCCCCAGTATCCTACCCAGTGCCTAGAACACAGTTAGTGCTCAATAAGTATCTGCTGAATGAATAAGGGAATGAATAAGCATATAACATACTTTGGAAAAAATGTAACAAGAAAGAAAAACAAATTAATTCTTTAATAGTTGAATTTTTATAGCATATCAATGAGAGAAAATTAAATATAAATGTATAGAAAATATCACACAGCCACATAAAGTGCCTAGTTAACTCTTCATTCTGCTAAAGAATACTCCTGAAGGCCAATAGTAGCCTGAAGAAAAGGACTGCTAGTGCATAAATAAAGTGAGCCCTTGGAAAGCTGGATGAGCTTATTTATTACCCAACCTTTTTCTTTTGGAAGGCAATTAGGATTGAACCCAGGGTCTCACACATGCTACGCAAGTGCTCTACCACTGAACTACACCCCCAACCCTTTTATATTTTTTGAGACAAGGTCTCACTAAATTGACTAGGCTGGCTTGGAACTTGTGATCCTCCTGCCTCGGTTTACCGAATAGCTGGGATTACAGATGTGCCACTATGTCTGGCTTATTTCCCAACTTTTTTATGGACCACTATCCATTTCCCAGTTCTCTAAAGTATTGCTAGAGTCTTAGGTTTATGATTCCAGATGTTTAATGGATATTTCAGTAGAGCCACAATGGATCTTTTCTAAACACCAAATAACAGGTTTAACTGAATTCAAACTTTCCTATCAAAGAGAGGATCTCAATTTGGAATAAATCAATTCTGGAAATCCAAGGCAAAGAAGCATTTTTCAGGAAGTTAAGAGCAAGCCAAATAGAAATTGCTTTCATTGTAGTTACTGGAAAATTAAACTGCCACCTTCCCCAAAGTAAAAATGACTCTATATACAAACTATCAATGCTCACAGTCCACTCCATGGCACATGCCTTTCTCCATTGCCCCAATCTGGGTTGTAAAGGCTCCAGAAATTTCAAGTTGCCCAGGAAACATACATGGAATGTGTATGGTTATATACTCTGTTTATATGATCAGAGCAAGACATTTATTCCTTTGGGAGGAAAGTAAAGACCAAAAAAATTTACTGCTAATTATACAACTGCTGTATGAAGAGCAGGGAATAAAAGACTTTAAGCGCTTTACGCTAATTCTGTGGTTATGAAAATAATTGCTCAGTTCAAATTATTTTAACTAAATTAATTCTTTAGTGGATATTTCAACCAGTGCTACATAATAAAATAATTGTCTAATTAGCAGTACATTTTTCAGTGCTGCCAAGAGTACAGTTTCAGAACAAGTAACAGAAAGGAGTGGCCCTTGTCAGTATTGTGCAGAGAAGAAATGGAAGGTGTAGATAAAAGGTGAAAACAAAATAATAGAAGATTGCACAAAAAGTCATTCTACCTGCAAAAGGAAGAAAAAAAAAGTTACAAGTAAATGAAGACAAAGCTTCCAGCCTCTTTATTCATTTATGTTTGTTAAAAATATATCTAGCTGGCATGGTGGCACATGCCTCTAATCCCAGTAACTCAAGAGGCTGAGACAGGAGGATTGTAAGTTCGAGGGGCCAGCCTCAACAATTTGGGGAGGCCCAAACAACTGAGTGTGATCCTATTTCAAAAAATGAAAAAGAGCTGGGGATGTAGCTCAGTAACTAAGTGTACCAGGTTCAATCCCCAGTACCAAAAAACAAACATATCTATACTAAAATTTATCTCTGTATTGTGTTGAACAGATCTAACTCCTAAAAGGGGAAGACTTTTCTTAAAATTTATTTTCCTTTCTTCCCTCCCCCCCTGCCTTTTTTTTTTTTTTTGGCGGTACTGGGGATTAACCTAGGAGTGCTCTACCAATGAGCTATCTCCCCAGTCTTTTTTTTTTTTTTTTTAATTGAGATAGGATTTCACTAGCTAGCCCAGACTGGCCCCCAATTTGAGATCTTCCTGCTTTAGCCTCCTGAGTAGCTGGGATTACAGGCTCATTCACTTAATTAAAAAAAAAAATAAAGAAACCCAGTTGATTTCATGCTATATGGAAATAGTTTAGAATGAAGTTGAGTGTGTGTATATTTTTCGTTTGTGTGTAATGATTTTGGTTCCTCTTTTTTGACATCATAGCTAGCTTACTGTGTACCAGGGATCATGACGGCACATACACATATGAATCATTCAGTCATAAGAACATCATCTAATTTATATATCCAAATTATAGGTGAATAAATGGAAGCTTAGTTAAATAAGAGTTATGTGGCAGAGAGAAGACTGAAACTCAGGTCTTTCTGGTTCTAAAGTCCACATTCTACTACCTAATTTTTACTCAGGTTCTTATTGTTAGGAAAAGAGCACCAGGTTGATCTCACCTGGAACACCAACAGACCCACAATGCAAACATCAACACCTGTATCAACATAAAGCAGGCTATTAAAATATAAACAAACATAAACAAACTCTACAAATCAATACGCTTACACTGAACTCCAGGTATCCCAAACCACATATTTTGAAAGGCAGGTTGAAATACTTGGCAACAATCTGACATAAAATTGTCTAAAATCCCTTCCTATTTAACAGACAGAGTGAAGACACAGACAAGAGTAGCAGGGGAGGGGATCCCCAAGGGTTTACACTAGAAATCAATCTAGGGAATTTCAAAGCTATGCATATGTTGTCAGTTCTCAGGCCCTGAGAAATGCAACTGGAATGGAATATACTGATAGGTTCTTCACCAGAGAGGCAGGAGCTTAGAGTTTTCTAGCATTCTGGGTAAATAAAGCACATCTGCATGAATGGTGATCACAAATAGCCTTTGGAGCATGTTCTCAGCATCCAGTCACCAAACCTGCCTAAGGCTTTCATTGTTACACAACATGGATAAACTGTGGCAGCCACATGTACCAAACAAGGAAGCAGAGTGACTGAAAATGCTTCCACAGTGCCCCACACTCTCAAAACTGGAATTGATCTTGTTGGTTTGGGCAAGATTATCTGTTAGAAGCTGAAGGTAAACATTAGGCATACACAAGCTCAATATACATAATGTCTCTCACGAGTTCATTATGGCCAGCAGACACTGTATTTCAACATCCAAATAATCAGAGACTTTAAAATAGACTTCATTCCAGTTAAAGTTTTCAATAAATGTGTTTTTTTATTGTTATTTATAACCTGTCCCAGGAAAAAAATAATAAGTATAACATGAAAAGCCAACTGAGAGTGACCCTGTAGCACCAGCAGTGAGGCGGCTTAATATCACTGGGATTTGCATCCTATCAAGCTATTCATGCTGAGGCTGGGACCCTGGTGCTAATTTCTAGTAAATTTCACGCTTGATGTCTCCCTGTTGTGGGTCATTGCCGGTTCGTCTAAATAAACTGCTTCCAAATGGCTCTTCCATCTAAATATTCAGCCAGTTTTTATAATTTAATTTTGCATTATGCTGAATAGCCTTCCGGCCAGATAGAGCTCATTGGAAAAAAAGCACCAATACCATCTTGACAAGCTTTTATTTATTTATTTATATTTTTACTGCTCGAATTAGACCTCCTAGGCCGACTAGTAAAGAGTTTTTTTTTTTCCCCTCCACTAATGTCAATTTTCAGCATAGCAAGAGCTGTCTCTAATCTTTTCCTACTCATTACACACAATTTTGGAGTCATTTTACCCACAGTGCAGTCGGCTCCTGGCTGTGTGTTTGTGTGCACTGAGGGATGGCATAATTGTTTATTTTCCCTCCCTGCATAATCCCTAGCCAGTATTGAAACCAAAACTGCAAACATCTCCCCAAGGGATGTGGAGAATGACAAGAGGCTCTCAGTTTAGGTCCCTTTACATGAGATAATATGCAGGAAACATCCTGACCTGTATGTAAATATGAACGGTGCTGTTCTCCCCCTCCTACTTCCACATAGATCTCTATCTTCCCTAAAGCTTATCTGTCTTATGTGATGTGTAAACAGACTCATTAGTACCAAAATTCAGAAGACAAAACTGGTCCTGCTCTATATTAAGCCAAGAACTCATTTCTGACCAAGGGCAGGAAAGAAAAGGGAACAGGCACTTGTTATTTAACAGGTACAGAGTGTAAGTTGGGGATGATTAAAAAGTTTAGGATATACTAATGCTGGTTACACAATCTTGTGAATGTATTTAATGCTACTGAACTGCATACTTACAAATGGTAAATTGATAAATATTATGCAATATATATTTTACCACAATAAAATATAATATTTCTGAGCTCTTGAAATTTCTTTTCACAATAATCAAGGATATCCCCAAAGGAAGGGAGAAGCAGGTGGGTCATAACTTTCTCCAGAATGTTCTAGGATCTGGTTCTGGTTCTGGGCTTGCAGATCAGCCAACTGAGTTTTAAGAAGTCAGTCTACATTACCACATCACTATATTACTCTCCCAAGTGTCACTGTTTAGCTGAACCATCTTGGGAAATTCACTTACCCTCCATCCCAATTTATGTAAATCATGGATAACAATATAAGTTACCCCTTAGCAGTGCTGGTTGTGATGACTGTGCCCCACGCATGCTAGGCGAGTGCTCTACCTCTGAGCCACAACTCCAGCCCCACTCAGTGAATCTTAATTGTTGTTGTTCTTATTGTCACAGGGCTAGCAGCCAATCTGGGCCTGAGCCAAAAGATGTAGCAGAGTTGAAGCTTTTCCTAGAAGTGACACTTCTGAAACTTTTGAACTCTGAACTCTAGTTAGCATATCATCTCCAGGCTGACTCATCAAGACTGCATTTTCAGCACTGCTTCCCGGTCAGGGCTTAACATACATCTTACAGTCAAGGAAGTGGAGATGGAGTGAAATCTGACACTATGTGAACCTCAAATACAGCAATGAAAGGGGTGTTAGGTCTCCCTCCCACTGGCTTCCACATGATATTATCCCCTTTTGAACACCCTGCTATTGTGTTTATAGTTATCACTTTGCCATTCTGCCCAGGACATTTTTCCTGACTTCCTGAGGTAATATCTGTTTCTTACTTATTTTTGTTAGCTCTGAGATGGTTGACATAGTTCCTTGCACTCAGAAACTCAGTAAAGATATGTAGGATTGACTTGTTTAACCTACACTCTCAATGTTTCCACTGATTTATTATCTTGGTCAAAAAATAATTCACCTTCACAGTTTAAAAAAGTACACAATTTATATGTATAGTCAAATCTCCCCCAAGAAAAGCACAAAAACACAAAATGTGGTAGTTCTCTAGCAAATAAGAATTTTTTCAAATTAAAATCAATCAAACAAAAATTAACCTAGTCCATTTTACAAGGCAAACCTGATCATACAGGGCTCTTTCCTAGCCAGGCAAGGGAAAAATCACTGGGAAAATGATAAATACCTCTAACCACATGGCTGATGATCTATAAAAGGGGAACTTCCCTAGGTGTGTCAGCTCCTTCCTCCCATTCTCCTAATCCTTCTACTATTTCTGAATCTTGAGATGAATGAGATTTGTACCCATCAGCATACTCTCTCAGCCTCCAGATGTATATAGAGTCTGCCCTTAGCCTGGCCATGGATCTCTGCATTGGAGAGGACACTTTACCACTATAAGAGGTGGAGTGTTTTCTTTGGCCCTCCATGTACTGTCCATAGTGGCTTTGCTCATTGGAGGTTTCTCATTTAATGGTGATATGGACTTCCTAATCACTAAGCAATTCCCATAGCACAGAGTAGAGCCTTTATAATAATGGTCTAATCTGCTAGAGCCACTGGCCCAGGGCTGTTGGTGGATAATAATAAAATGTATCACAAATTACCACAAAGAACAGCCTCTGGTACAGAATTTGTTCATTTTCTTCTAGTTTGTGCTAATTTCAGTATCTATCTTAGTCAGTATACAACATTAGAAAGTAATATGAATGAAGAACATGCCCAGAAAGAGGGACAGGGACAAGTACAATCCTCCTTTCTAGGACCATCAGAACGGTACAATATCTACCTATGAAAGCAAAATCTACAACAGTAGCCCACCTCGGTAACTAACAGATTATTCTGTAATTTAGTAAGGAATAATAAAACATACCATATTTTTCCATTTGAATTGCAATTCAGAAGGTATCTTAGAGTAGCATAATCCCCCAAAAGCCTAGGGTGATGGGCTGTCATCATACCCCCAGAATCTGCAGTATCTACTCCCTCCCCATGTCACGTGGTATCCAGTAATCAGTGTTGTCCCTGTAGCCCACAACCAAGTTAGTCACCTTTCATTCCACCAGAGAAGCCTCTCCAGTTGGCAAAGACCATCAAGGGCAGCCCTTCGCGGTTGAAGTCCTTGATAGCCTGATAGGTCTTAAACGCAGAATCTGGGAACCAAACCTGGCCAGCTTGCTGAATTATCTATTGGGGAAAGTCAAAAAAGAAGATAAAATTAACAACACAGGACTGGGGTTGTAGCTCAGTGGTAGAGCACTTGCCTGGCATGTGTGAGGCCCTGGGTTTGATCCTCAGCACCACATATAAATAAATAAACAAAAGATTCATTGACAACTTAAAAAAAAATTAATAACACAGCTTAAGGGAGAACTTCTCCAAGATGAACAAGATTTTATGTATTAAAAAATGAAAAGTCAAGCTGAATGGGGTGGCATATGCCTGTAATTCCAACTATTTGGAAGGATGAGGCAACAAGATCACAAATTCAAGGCTAGCCTTGGCAATTGGATGCTGGGAATATAGCTCAGAGGTAGAACACATGTGCAAGGTCTTGGATTCAAACTCAGCACAGAAAAACAAACAAACCTGAAAATTCAATCAAACCAAATGAAAACTAGTTTATCGGGCTGTGGATGTGGCTCAAGTGGTAACACGCTTGCCTGGCATGTGTGCGGCCCGGGTTCGATCCTCAGCACCACATACAAAACAAAGATGTTGTGTCCGCTGAAAACTAAACAATAAAAAAAAAAAAAAATTCTCTCTCTCTCTCTCTCTTAAAAAAAAAAAAAAAGAAAACTAGTTTATCAAGATCATTTTTTTGGGGGGATGGGGGTGTATTATAGATTGAACCCAGGGGTGTTCAACCACTGAGCCACATTCCCAGCCCTTTTTATTTTTTGAAACAGGGTCTCGCTGAGTGGCTTAGGTCTTCAATAAGTTGCTGAGGCTGGCCTTTAAACTTGAGATCCTCTTGCCTCAGCTTCCCAAGTTGCTGGGATTATAGGCATGCACCATCTCTTCAGTCTCAACATCAACAGAGTAGTATTTACTTAAGTAAGAAGAGAAGAACTCCCACAATACAGGAGGGGAACTGATAGCAGTATACCCCCAAGACCACTTTTGAAGAGAAAAAGAAAGGATCCTGGACCTTTTAAATATTCTTCTTTTTGAGTGTTCCTTAGAAAAAAGGGGGAAACCTAACTATTACTAATGAGAGAATATAGGCCTAGGAACCAACCCCCATTCATATTTCTGTTATTTTTTTTTTTTTTTTAAAGGCAGATCTGGTAATGGAACCCAGGGTCTCATGCATGCTATGTAAGTGCTCTACCACTGAGCCACATCCCCAGTGCTCATTCAATCTTCTTGAAGGCAACTTGAAATTGGGCACCATGGCACATGCCTGTAATCACAGAGACTCAGGAAGTTGAGGCAAGAGGATCCTAATTTCAAGGCCTCAGCAACTCAATAAGATCCTATATCAAAATAAAAAATAATTAAAAAATGGACTGGGGATGCAGCTGAGTGGTTAAAAAAAAGAGGGGTAGTGGGTGCGGGGGGGGGGGGGGGGGTTGTGGTATCCATGCCTGGAGTTAGGGCAGACTGCATTATCAGTTCTAATTGTAGCTCTTCCATGTGTTTGTTCAGAGAATCTACAACAGATGAGCTTCAGTGCTATCTCAGTTGCCTTTCTGTAACAGCATCTCTCCAACAAAATCAGAACATTTTCTGATTTCAGTAAGAACAATGTAAAGGCCTATTTCATTTGGGGGACAGAACTTGGCTTGTTGTCTATCTAGAGTCATCTTAAAAGTGAACACACGAGGGCTGGGGATATGGCTCAGTTGGTAGAGTGCTTGCCTTGCATGTACAAGGCCCTGAGTTTGATCCCCAGCACTTAAAAAAAAAAAAAAACAAAAGTGAACACATGAGTCAGGCATGGGGATGCACACCGATAATCTTGGCAATTTGGGAGGTTGAGGCAGGAGATTGCAAGTTCAATGCTAGCCTCGGCAACTCAGTGAAGTCCTAAGCAACTCAGCAAGACCCTGTCTCAAAAAACAAAAAGAGCTGGGATGTGGGTCAATTATTAAGCACCCTTAGGTTCAGTCTCCAATACCAAAAACAAACAAACAAAAAAAAAACCCAAAAAAGAAACACACACACAAACACATGATGGTCTAAAATCATTCAAGGCTGCTGCTGTGCTTTCCCTTTAAAATTATCCCTAGTGTATCCACAGGCACTGAAGGGAAACAAGCTCTAAGCACAGGCACACAATGTACTCTAGGTGACCTACCTTGGCTTCAGAATCCAGGTTTGCAGGATCAGCTGGGATACTTAGTTCTACTGTTCGAGTTTCTACGGCAACTACTCCCACAGGTATTCCTCCTAGCCTGATAAAAAATGAGCCACATCAGAACCCAATGCATGTCGAGATTATAGCTAGTCGTTTATTTTCCAATCCCACATCAACACTGGGACTAAAACTAGAAGCAAATCAGACAGCAGGGGGGAATCTAACTTCTAGGGGCTAAATGTGAGAATATGGATTTAGTATTTATTCTATAAATATGGTGGGAAACTATCCTTGGAACCACTCCTATTCTGGATAGCCCCAACAGGATAAATTCAAACCAGGGCTGTAACAAGGGGATCTTCTATATTTAGACTCATTTCAGTGCACATACAAATCTACCTCTGTGGTTACCAAATGAAGTTTCTCTATTCACTCTAGAGCATCTCTTGGTGAATATGGAGGGAAATGGTCTGGAAGGTAGTAGGAATCTGAAACTTTTGGTAACTTTTCATGAGTCCTGGTCCTGTGAAAATACAACTATAGTTTTCTTTTCTTTTTTTGGTGGTACTTGAACCCCAGGGCCTTGTACATGCTAGGCAACTACTCTATCCCTGAGCTACATCCGAAGCTCTTTTAATTTTTGTTTTGAGACGGGGCCTTACAAAATTGCCCAGGTTCACCTTGAACTCGTGATTCTCCTGCTTCAGCCCCCTGAGTAACTGGGATTACAGGTATGCACCACCATGGCTGATAGAGCTGTAGTTTTTATGGAATATGAATAATGTGGTGCAAGATTTGAGGGTACAGAAGGTTTTACCACTGGGTGTGTCAGTGGGGATTGTGTGTAGGTGTGTCATGAGAATGATGAAAAATATATACAAAGAGTAGGGAAGTGGTTTAAAATGGGCCCTTAAGTTTTTCTTTCACGGGAAAAGAACAATGGGACAGGGACAATTTCAGAAATCATTCTGAATCTACACTGGAGGCATATATTTAATCTCAAAGCTAAGTTAATTAAAAAACCTGTTCAGGTACTTAAATGTTTCTACATTTATACTCCATGAGACGCTCTAAACTTAGTCTTCATAAAGATTTCCTAGGAAAATCAGAGAGCAGGAGAGGAGAGGGGCAGAGATGGGGGGAAGGAAGAGAGATTGAGGGAAGGGAGAATACAGAAATGCAAAGACAGGGTGAGTCTTTACCCTGGAATATGTGATTCAATCTTCACTCTCAGTTGCATTACTTGGGCCTAGGGCTGGGATGGGCTAGTCTCTTGTTCCCCACACCATCTCCATAACAAACTTTTCCATGAAGGATGGTCTTGGGTTGTTACATTGGCTACTGGAAATGGATTCTTGTCATCACAACAGGCCTAATGGGGGACTGAGTGGAGACCACCCACCCCCTTGTCACTTGCCCGCATTGAATCAGAATCAAAAGCCCTCTAGATAACCAGACAACGAGCAGGAGGTACACAGGAGGGCTTAGAAATATTTCTGCTCACAATGATTAACAATCCAACAGGAAACTTGTAATTGCAAAAGCCACCCTAAATCGGTAACTTATAACTTATATATTAGGGCCCATGTGACCTAATAAAGAACATCTTTATCCGAGTATTACAGTTATTTATTGAACTTGAAAACAGCTCAGAACAACTTCTGTTTTCTATTATACTTCATATAAATTTTATCAGGCTAGCACATGAAGATGCTACATCTTGTTTTATAGTGTGTCCCTGGACAAGGTGCCATAGAATAATAAAAGACAATTTACAGCCAATAGCACACGTATTCCAAACATACATACCAAAGATGAGTTTTGGCAGCACTTACAGTAACAATCCCAGAAGAATACATTTATATTTATTTCTCAAAATGCCATTGCTTTTGAAAGAAGCTAGCTGTACTTGTGTTTTATATACTTGTGAGTATGTGCATGTTTGGAGTAAGAAACCCAAAACTCATCAGATGGAAAGAAAGGAAGAAGTCAGAGCGAGTGTCAGAATAAACAATGGCAGAGTTAACCACAGCCAAGCTTGACTGATCTTGGTTGCAGAATGATTCCCGTTCTTCCAATCATAAGTGTAAAGCATTGTTCTCTTATTTCCCAAGGGAAAATCTTAAAGACCTTAACAAAGGCTTGGTTTTGTGAGGCTTACAATCTGTCATGTTTTCAATAGATAGGAAAACTGAAGCAGAACAGATAAGAGACAAATTCTCAAAAAAGTTGGCCCTAGTGTGACATGAGGACTCTTTTGTAATGAGCTGATAGGTCCTGGGTAGTAGGACACAAACTCTCATGCATGCCCCACAACTGCCTCCCCAGTGGGAATTTTAATGGCACAAAAAATAATTCTCACTGGGACCCAGAAGCCTGGGGTGAGGTAAAAGACCTGAGACGCAAAAGGAAACGAGCAGCTAGTTTCTGTGAGTTTCCATCTGAGCTAACTCAGACCCGAATCCTATTCAGAGTCACAGTGGAAGACCCTGTCTGTGGGATTTGCCATCTGATGGCTCCCTGTCACTGGCAGCATGAGGCGTGCTGACCTGCTATACTGAGCAAACCACAAAGCCTAGAATTATTTTCAAGGCTAGAATCTAAATCTCAACCCAATGTGGCATGTTTGAGAATCTTGAGCAGGTGCCACTTTTCACCAAGATAAGGAAAACTGATTGCCCCCGAGAGGAAGGTGAGCACCAGATGCAGGTCCCTCGGGCAGCATGTCTCCGCAGTGCAGAACTAGATTAAGATCAGCCTTGGCAGGTGCTTGTTATACTGAGAGCTGCAGATTATTTCACACAGAGCTTGCTGTTGAGTGAAGCACTTCTTAGAGTGGGTATTAAAATTTAATAGAAACTTCAATTTCCCACTTATAAAACATGGGTATTCCGGCAACCTATACCAGCTTATTTTACTCATTCCTGTTTCAGGTAAACTTTTTTTTTTTGAGGGGGGAGGGAGTACAATTCAAATCTGATTATAATCTAATATAGTACATAAGTCACTTAAGTAATCTTGATGCCATGATGGAACTTCTCTCAGGTTACATAAGAAACAGATGAGTCTCTGATTCACTTGTCACCTGTTCCTAAAAGAAAGTAGTCTATGGGGGAGGGGAAGACATTGGTAGGCTATGGCTATTGTAGTTGGGCATTACACCCCCAAAGAGTTTTCCTCGCAGCATTATTAAAAGGAAATATTGTCAGAATCAGCCTTTATATTAAATGCATCACTGGAGTGACACTCTAAATGACTACTGGGAGCCAGTTAGAATACATTGGGCCTGGTTATAATCCAATATTCTTAGAAAGTTTTGATGAAGAGATCATTACTGATAAAAATCTATATGGCCATGGCCCTTCTGCTTCTTATTTTCAGTTGGAAGAAAAGAGAGCTTCCAAAATAAAAGAGCTCTTACCTGGCTCTACCAACCACCACAGTCTGTGCCCACGGCTGCATAATCTCTGAGAAAGATCCATAGTCAAAAAATCCACTCAACCACTGACCTTTCTGGGCTACAGAAGGAAAAAAAAGAATAAAGACAGTCAATCCATTGACAGTGCGCTGGAACTGATGAATTTAAGGTGGGATCTGGGGGATTATTTGGGGGAGTTTGTTGTTGTTTCTAACCATATTATAATAGATGGAAGCATTAGGCAGCTGAATGTTCATCTGCCTTCAGACATCATCTCCTATTTCATTTGCTAGTCTGCATAAAAAGAATCATTTATCAGCAAAAACATCATTTATTGTTAAACGATGGGGTTCAGCTAGCACAGACAGTTTGCATGCTTTTAAATAAATAACTTGGCTTTTTTCAAGATACCACAAGCATTTGTCAAAAGGCAGCCAAGTCATTAAAGATGTTTTAAAAAATGTCTATTTCTATTTTGAAACTCGTCTTACAATTTTGTTTGATTCCATTGATTGTCTTTTAATGGAAAGATGAAAGCAGTCAAATAAGTTAATGATCAGATGAGGACCCAAATTTGAGGAAAAGAAAAGGGATTCAGTGTTTCTGCTAGAAAAGTAAGATAGATCCAAAGTATAATTTTTCTACAAGAAAGGGTCATGACCACATACTCTTGACAGAGCAAAAACATAATGGTTCAGATGCATAATGCTTAATGCCATTAACCTCCCTTGCACAGAAAATTCCCTTCATTGGCAAGACATGTACTTTCAATATCCTAGTTTAAAAACTTTCGTTCCACAGGTATAAATGTTTGACCAAGGCCCTAGGAAAGCTTCTGCAAATAACTGTTTCCTAGTTTGCCCTCTCAGCTCATGGTTTCTCTGTGATTCTTCTAATTTGAACACAGCCCTCCACCCTGTAAAAACCCAAGTCCAAAACCAATTAAAAGTGAAGATCCGAGCAAGCTAACCTCTGCTGACTTAAACAGGATGGAGAGTGTTTTATCAAGACTAAACTTGTAATTACTGTGTTCTACATTCCTTGCCTCTATGGCCCCAGTGTAAAATGTGATCATCCATTTCAAAATTATCTCTCCATCGTGAGCCCAAAGCCGATCGTTTAGATTCTGGTCTCGTGTTGGGCGTCAGTTTGAAGAATATCATGGCACTATCTTCTCTAATAAATGACTTTAACTTTTCACCTAGAAGATATCTGCTTTAACTTATCACAGGGAATCATCTGCTTTCTTTAACGCTTCCACTAAATTAAAATCTGAAGTCACTCGATTTGGGAGCGAGTGTTAGCTACAGAGAGACAGCAGGATGAATTACTGGGGAGTCGATGAAAAAATATTATACAAAAAATAGAAAACTTAGTTTATCACAAATTTCATTTTATTCTCTGGTTCTCATTAATAATGACGGGGATAACCCCTATCTACACCCACACTTCTGTTCACACCATGAATGAGGGGAATGATGAAGGTTCTAATCCAAATTTTAACTTTACATGCCCAGATCATTTTATAATTCTTACTTTAATAATGATTAGGAAGTACAGAATTAATTTCAAGTGAAAAAATCTGCAGCTTCCCCTCCCTTCTTTGATATTGAGGATTGAACCCAGGGGTGTTGTAGAACATTTTACCTCTCATTAAATTACTGATGTTGTCATTGAACTTGAGATCTTCCTGTCACAGCCCTCACTGGAATTACAGGTATATGCCACCATGCCTGGTTGAAAATGTTTACTTTTTTAAATAAACCTTCATGCCTAATCATAGCAACAAAAAAAGCTGACTAAAACACCTGAAAATGCTAATCTATTGTTCCTATTTCAACCCCCCCAATATAATTTTCTGTCATTATTTATCTTTATTTTTAAACATGTTGCAGCTCTTTATATTTTTATTTTTTATTTTTTTGGTACTGGGGATTGAACTCGGGGCACTCGACCACTGAGTCACATCCCCAGCCCTATTTTGTATTTTATTTAGAGACAGGGTCTCACTGAATTGCTTAGTGCCTCTCTGTTTCTGAGGCTGGCTTTGAACTCACGATCCTCCTGCCTCAGTCTCCAGAGCCGCTGGGATTACAGGCATGCGCCACTGCACCAGGCTTAAACTTTATTTTAATTACTATAAAAATAAAATAAAAAACCCTCTTGCCTTATATGTTGATTAGGGTAGAGTGAACTCTTGGTTATTGTAGTTGGGCTTCACAGTCCCCACAGTGCAGATGAGACAGTCAGACATAGAACTTAGAAGCCTGTTAAGATGGTTCCCTAGATTTCTCAGGAGAACTTTTGCTGAGACTTGTTCTGATTTTCAGGAGAAAAGAGGCTCACCTCATTTCCATAAAAGTCCTGAATTTTAAGGTTGATAGGTGTGCTAGGCACATACTTCTTATCATAATCATGTATAAAAATAAGAGGCAAGGAGAAAACTACTATAGTGATTTTTCTGCCAGTGTAAGAAATTTTTTATTAAGATTAATAAGAAAAGGCATTGAAATCAACATTAACTGTTGATTTTTCTAGAATATCTACAGTCAGGTGTCAGATGAAGCCTGAGCTCTAAAGTAATAGCTGTGTGGCCTTACACAGATCATTCAACTTCTCTGAGATTGTAAAATGGTGAACTTTCATTCTCATTCTCTCTCAAATAATGTATATATGAATTTCTTTCCATCTGATCCGGCTTTAGTGTGTACTCTTTCTCCTTCCTTCCTTCCTCTTTTCTTTTTTGCAGTACTGGGGATTGAACCAAGGGGTGCTCTACTACTGAGCTACATCCCCAGCCCTTACTAGTTTCTGACACAAGGTCACTAAATTGCTGAGGCTGGCCTCAGACTTGTAATTCTTTGGCCTCAGCCTCTCTAGTAGCAGGGATTACAGGTGTGTGCTACTTGCATCTGGCTTGGCTGCTTTCTTAGTCACATGCTTTTATGTGGGAATTGTGATTGAAAGAAGATTAAAAGTTTGAGAGCCAGGGCACCACAGAGACTTCAAACATATACATACTTGGGTGAGGACGACCTGCTAACATCCATCGAGGATCATATGGAGCCTTTGTGGGAACAAACTCAATGATTCTATCTATAGGATCCTTGGAGTTCAGGAGAGGAACTGAACTGTGCACGCTCTAAAGGGAGATTGGGAAAGAAAGAGCACAGCCATCAGTGAAAAACCGTCTTATGCTCCAACTCAGCAACAGCTACAGACAAAAGATAGCAGGTTCCACATTCAGAAATTAGATGCATTGGTCCCAATCACCAGCCAGAAGCATCCTAGTTATGTGCCAGGCACAGAGGAACATGCACAGGTCTTAATCTCATTTAGAAGTCTGGCACAAAGTGATGCATTTTGACTCTTGATTTCAGTGTGCCCACGCTTTCTGGGAAGCTCTCCAGAGAATGAATGACTATTACAAAAGGAGAAAACCCAACAATGAGTAGGAAACCTTAATATGCTGGAATCTGAGTCTAGAAAGGACATGAAGGCATTCTTGGCTGGAAAATACCAGAAACAGGCCTAATGAAATCCAGAGACATTTTAAAGGTAGAAAGCAAAAGATGTGTTTGAGAAAAAGAAATCAAGATCTCTCAGAGAAATATTTCAGAATAAAAAATTCCTCTGCCTTAAAGATGAGACTTCAAACATAGAGACAATGAGCCATGTTAGAAATGGCAGGTTCTGCTGGAAGGAAGGACTCACCTTGGGCATGTATGACAGCCAGTGCAGGACAGTGAAAACTCCTTCAAAGTCATCACAAACGGTAGAGTGGGTTACCCCATTGTTGTGCATGATCTGGATGCCCCCAAGCTGGTTATTGGAGGTGTAAACTTCCCTTCCAAGGACCTGGAGAAATGAGCAAGAGAAAGGACATTTGTCTCTAAAAAAGTAAAGACATAGTTTATTTCATAATTCTCACTGAAATAGGTTCTTTTCATCACAAGACAGAGATCCCAGACTCTGTGGGTTGTTCTGAGTGACTACCAGGATCTTCTTCCTAAAAAGAAAACTCAGAAAACAAAAAAGAGTTTTAAATAATCACATATACGGTTGCAATTTAAAATCCAGCAAGCTTTTCTCTCTACTAGCGACCATAGACAGGTAGAAGGCAAAAGATGTCTTTGAGAAAAAGAAATAGCATTCTTGGAGTCTGACTTGAAACTGCAGTGATGGGTAGGCTGGGACCCTGAGGCACAGGCCACCCTGTCATGTGTAGGTCTGGCAGAGTTGTTATGCACATAAACAAAAAAGATAGCATGCCTGTCTTTTGACAAGCCGCAGTTAAAGAAACCCTGTGGGGATCTGGGTTCCTCATTTGTTTCCTAAAGGATTACCTTTTTCTTCACATTTGATTTTGGTTTTTTCTTTTTCTTCTTTCCCTAGTACTGAATATTGAGCTCAGGAACCTTGTGCATGCTAGGCAAGTGCTCTATCAACAAACTACATCCCCAGTTCTCTTGTGTTTGATTTTTAAAGCAGGTTCCCACTCAAAAGCCCTAAAGGGGGCAAAAATTCTGAAGCAACCAATGATACAGACACAAACCCCTGAGTCTCAAATCCTCTTTGTGTGCTGGGTGCAGGACTATGATTTATTCCCAAGCCTGCTTCCCCTCTGCCTTTCCCTTCCAAGGCTGTAGGAAATTCTGGGCCTCATTCTCTGTCTCTCTGGAGAGTTTAACCCTTGTCAGGTCAAAGGGCACCTGCAATTGCAAACCACAAAGTTTCCTTTAAAGAAGAAAAAGGGGGAAAAAATTCTTGGACTTAGAAATTGTAGGGTTCTTTTCTCCTTGAAGATCGGTTAATAATTTCTTTCAGGGAGGGAGGTTTTCTGACCCAGCAGATGGAAGCCGGGTGGCCTGATCACTGACTATTGCAAACTGCTCAGTGTATAGTAATTGCCAGTCATCTAGGGTAGCCCTGGAGAGCTCTAAACAGTTGTGGAGCACTTACTGTATTTTCCCTTTTCTTTTCCCTTTCTCCTCCTCCTTTAAAAAATAACGACAACACAAAATTTCTTCCTTACTAACTTTTATTCATTTTCAGTCTCTGGGGAGAACCTAATAAATTGAGGGCTGGCAAATTGTACCTGTATATTCCCAAATGGCCCCTTCTTGTTAGGAGCTTTGAGAGGTTCCACTGCGTGCTGGGTCAGCCCCTACATCAAGACCTTCCCAAGGCTGTGGAAGTTGGTGACCAAAGTAATAACCTCACTGTGACCCAGCTGGCCTTGCTTCCATTTAACTTCAGCTACGAAGGGCATTAGAGACTTTTCTGAAAGGAATATGGAAAGCAAAATTGCTCTCAGATTACTGCTTTCCTTGATAAGGAAGCACAGAGAACAAGCCTTTACAGGCAGCCCCAAGCTGAGCAAGCTGCTGGCAGCTCCTTTGAAGGAGCCCCATGAACAGGGGAGAACATATCTGACCACTGGGCTCCCATCCTCCCCTCAGTCCATCTTTAATCTCAGCCCAGGCACTGCAGCTCTTTTCTCATTCTCCTGCTGTCTCTTTCCATTTGCCCTCTCTCTGACTGATACACTGATCTCTCGGTCACTCGGCTTTCTGCTCCACTGAGTCCATATTACTAATAACACCTCCGCCACGGCCAGTTTACCTCATGAAGGCAGGAGCACATCATTACAAAATAAACTCATAACTTTGACATTCTAGCAAATACACGCCGTTTGTTATTTTTATGGCTTTAGTCTTTCTAACAGGCAGAGGGCATTACATACCTGTTTCATTTATATCTTTAAATGTGCGCACACATGCACACTCACACATGCATCAGGAAACAAAACAGAAGAGAAAAATCAAACCAAAACAAATATCCAAAGCAGTCAGTTGATGGGAGATCTTGGTGGAGGCAGAAAAACCTGTCACTCAGGGAGGCCACGCTCTGATCTGGCTCTGGTTTTATGGTCATCATAAACCCGATGGCCCACAACTGGTCCTTCTGGGACAGACTGCCTCTCTGCTAGAAGTCATTCAGTGTGATCAGCAGTATTTTTAATTATTAAAATAAAATTGGAAAGGGGGAAAAGGAATAAAAAGGAGACACTGTGCTGACCCTGAATATCTGATATTCACAATCTATGTCAGGAGCCAACTACTCCTTGTTGCCTATAAGAGAGGTGCCATTTTCTGCTAAGAAACACTATTTTCTGTCCAATCTCTAGTACTTGATAATGTCCAATCAGTAATGGACCATCGAAAGACAAAGCTCAGAAAAAAGGACTGAAGCAGACCAAGAGCTGCTTCATGGTTTAAATGCACCATTCTCAGACGTCTTTGCCCACTCACTTCAAAGGATAGGAAAGCATTCAGAACCAGGCTACTCCCAGAGACCTTCTGCCACTTATCCATCCTACTGCTGAGTTACACTCCCAGCAACTCTATCTTGTGTTGTTACAACAGGAGACAAACTTGAAACAGCAAGATTCAATAACATAGCACATTTTCCTTTAGCAAGCTAAAACTCAAGACTGATGCTTTGGCATTGTTCTGAAAAAGCAGCGGTATTTCTGTTTCTTCTCCTCTGGGTTCTGAAGAAACCCAACTAGGGTTTAACACAACCAAGAACATTAATTCTGAGCTAAAGAAATATTTGCCACGTGTGAAGATTCATTTAATTTGGAAATGAAAGAGAAAAACCATAGGATAGAGTAACAGACTATCTAATAGCTCTCTGACCAGCCTTATTTAGGGAAACGAAGGCGGAGTGGAGACCAACAGACAGAAATGAAATCTGTCCATTTACAAATGCCAACAATCACAGATACTTAACAATCAGCAAGGGGAAAGCAGTACCGCGGGCTCATCTTCAAAGGCTGGATGTTTTGGAGTACGCACAGTAGGATGAAAGTGCACACAATGGCTCCTGATTTATAGGGGTCGTTGCTGACTCAAGTGGTTTTAATGATTTTAGAATACCTCACAACAAAAGCTCCAACCAAGGAAGCAGAATCTGGGCTAGGACAAAATTCATTCTGCCTAACTCTGAAATGATGATGCCAGAACAGTCACGCAGACCCTAATCGACACCTAGGAAGATAAGATGGCCCAACACAAAGAACCACTGTTTTATTCCTCAGTAAGTTGTCTTACCAACCATCTACAGAATAACCTGGGGTCAACAGCTCACATCACATTTTCATGAACTAGGTGGGTTTCATTTGTCACTCTTTTAAACTTTGACATAGGCATTTCTATATTAGTTGAGTTGCTTGCCAGAGTTTTCAAATTATTCCTCTCACATTTTCTACTATTTGAAATAAATTTTAATTTATCTGCCCCAAAGCATCACTATTAAACATAGGAGCCATTCAAACAGAGGAGATGCTCCCAAGGCCCTCTTTGTTTCCTTCCAGATCTAAGTGGAAGAACAACACCATCTTGAGGTCCTCTGCTAAAGGGTACCCAGGCCACAGAACTGATACGGGCTGAACTTGAGAGAAGAAAAGATCTTTACCCAGCCTCTCCATAAATGTAAGCCTCATCCAGTGTTTCATTCATTGCAGCTGGCAGACTTGAGAATTAAGGGCACCACATAAAAGCTACTGATTAGCAGAGAGGCAATTGTTAAAGGCTCCACCAAAGATGCCACAGAGCCTTTAGAAATGTTCAGATGTGTAAAAGGTACAAATGAATGCAGTCATACACACATGCTAAGACCTCTGCTGCTGTTGCTGCTTATCTAGAGACATTGCAGACAGCTCAGGTTTACCACAGCTGACAGGCAATGAAAACAGTCTAATATACCGCCTGCTCTCGCCCTTAAATCCCTTTTTGGAGATCAAGATAAACATGTTCTTCCCTTCCCCAGTACTCCAGACATTTGACTGAAGTGGCGAAGCATTGTGAGGTTTTGTGCAAATGAAATCACTATGTAACACTGAATGAGCGTAGTATTTACTTGTCAGGATATTTGTCAGCACAGGCATTGAGATACGAGTTTCAAAGATGCAACTTAGCTCAATCTTTAAAAAATTGCTCTTATCCTGATACACACATTAAGACCCTTAGACTTATATACAAATATTTGCAATCATGTGCTAAGATGTGAAAAATAATGATGTATAAACAATGGAATAAAAGAGAAAAGCTACTGCTGCTTTCTCCTCTTTTAAACAACCTCAGTGGGTTAGAACATCTTGTATTTAAAGAATCAGAGTACAAAATTCCTCCTGCACCCATGAATTCAGCTATGCAAGCTTTGCTGCAATCCTCATCAGGACACTTCCATTCTCAAGAGAATTTCAGGAGGGTTTTTTGGTAAATTTGCTGAGTTATCATCATCACTGGACTTCATCCAGGATTCTAGGTATTAAAGTCACTTTGAGATCCATCAGGTTATTGATAAAGGTTTGGCTAAGGCAGACAGAGAGATAGACAATGAGAAAGAATGGGTGGAAGTAGGGGAAAAGTAATAAGATGGAAAAGAGGTGGAAGAATGAAGGGTGGGGGGAGGAAGGGGAAGAAAAAAATGTAATAGCTCATCTACTCAGTGCTGCTAACATCCTCTTCCTTGACCTGAGAGGACTACATTTTTAAAAGCTGACAAGTAATTCAACCTCCAATTAACAATTTTAAATGGTGTAGCACATATTACTGTGTAAATGTTTCACCAGGAATACATCTAAGGGTGAATGGAATTAAATCTCCAGGGAAATGGGACCAGTGCCTCCATGATCAAAAATATTTGGGTGTTCCAAAATACAAAGCCATAGGGTTACAACTTTTTCTCTCTTCTTTATTACTACTGCTGTCAATGGCAAACTGGAACATTGGTTGGCAGTTGGTAAATTAGACTTGGGGATATAGAAAAGGCTTAGTGCCATTCGTTGG